TGCTTCTTGATGTGACAGTGAACTGAGCATAGAACTGTGTATCCTGTCCAAGACACACAAAATTAGAGGACTTGAAAATATACAGTTTTTAATCTTAAATTAATCCTGGTACCCTGAAAGATTTCAGCTCCAATCAGAAGCTAATGTGTCCTTCCAGATGCTTTTGCACAAGAATAGATTAATCTCCTAAAATACAGGGATTCAATCCTGAGCGCACACAGTAATGTCAGTACCTTTAGGTCCTGGAAGCTTGGGTGACCATCTGTGGGCAGTGACAGCACAAGAATCAATTGCAACAACCCAGAAATTTGTCTCTCCATCCCCCTCCATCCCTACTGCCAGCTTATACCAACAAACCACTGTCTCCAGAGGTAAAAATAGCTATGAACCTCTGGACTGAAAATTACAAGCATCTGTCAGAAGCAGCACAGCATATTTGGGGGTTGAGGGTGACTCCAAAATGCACCAAGGTATAAACTCCTTTAAAAAAACCTGGTGGACACTCAGTTATAAAAACAGACTGAAGCTTCAGAGCTTCCCGTATCAGGTTGCTGAGGGAGGATGAGAAGATTAATCTGGTTTTCCAAGATAAAAAGACACTGAAAAACACCTGAAAAAGCTCGGTCATATTAAAAAAAAAAAAAAAAAAAAAAAAAAAAGAAGGGAAAAGAAGGTAATAAAAACCAGCACACATATCCTAACCTTTCATAGGCAACATGTCATACCAGGTATTTTCTAGTATTTCCACAACATATCTAGTAGTCCAGATTATATGGCAGACCTTTTTTTAACCACTTCAAATATCATACAGGGTTTGCACTATACGGTGCAAGTCCTTTGGATAAATTTGGTTATTTTTGTCATTTGGCATTGAACCTTATTGTCAATAGCAGCCAACCCCACCAGGGGAGCCACAACCATATGCCAGAACTTTTCACTCCTGCCTAATGCTGAGTACAGTCTTGTTTCCTTTGCTCAGAAAATGACCTACATATGTAGTCAAAAGATGCTACCAGATGCACTACATATGTCAGATTCAAATATAGCCTTTCAAAAAATACTAGAGACATTTTGAGCACAGTGAGCAGTAGGCTTACAATGTGAAGAAACCTCATGTATGACAGACAGGAGTAAAGGAGAAGATAAGGCACCTAACCAGGCAGGTCCCCATTGCACTGCAGACTCAGTAACACACATTCTGTAATCCTAAGTAACTCGGCTTTCACGAGAGCTTGGGTAATGTGTGTATTAAGTAATGCCTAAGCCACACATTCAGCAAGAAAACAAAACCTGAAAAGCTGATCATTAATTGAGCACCATTTATTCTGCATGCCCAACAAGACAGGAGTACCTAATTATCCAGCTAATGATTGTACATCAAGACAGAGATCAGCTATGGAGGAGCAAGCTCAGTGCTGTCACTTCCTGAACTCTGCTCAAACTGCTTTCCTTCCACAGGTGGTAAGCAAGTGTTGTTGCAAAAGTAACCTGAACAGCTCACTCACTCCCTGCAGCACCATGCCAACACCCACCTACACCAGCTGTGAGCTTTAAACCTGCAGCAGCCCCAGATGACAGAAGGATAAACAACTCCCATTGCAGACAGATGAGCTGTTGGCAAACCACGACCAAAGGGTTCAGGCAAATTAGGACATTGGACCAACCACAGCCTAAGAAAGAAGTGATTTTGCAAACATGGCTGTTTATTATTATCCTTTCTAATCTCTGGTTTAGACCCAGTAGCCGACACAACAGGAGGAAGCCTTCACCATTATCAGATGCCAAAGGTCCAAACACACTTTGTACCAATGACTTCTTTACCCAGCTAAGTCCACACTAAGTGTTACCAAGCTCATGCAATCCAATTTCCTAAATGTTTGGATTTTGCCCCCATTTGCTGTAATGAATATCTGTCCAAGTGTTGCTCCTTGGACAGATATTGTTACTCCTGACATCTGGCTCAGACAAATTCCTAAAGACTCCAGGGCACCAGAACTGCTTGGAAATGAGCAGGGACTAACAGCCATAACCTTGTTCTTAAGCCATTTAGCAACTGTCATGAACTATGTATTTAGAAATTCAGATCTGAAAAGAGCTAAGGATATTCCAAGCTCATGCTGAACATGTTTTGCCTTTTTATGCATTCTCTAAAATTTTGTATTAATACTGAGGGAAAGAGGGACAGAAACGGAACATAACAGTCTCCACCATAAAAATCTATTCAACATTTACAATAAAAGAGGATTTCGACTTGTCCTTGAGAGAAAGACTTTATTTCCAGAAACATCTCATTCTGTAATGGCTGCAGAAAAAGGACAGTTTTTCCATTTCAAAACAGCTCTAAGGAAAATGGTAAAAAATGGACAAGACAGACAAATGAGAGATGTTCCTCATTTCAGCATATATCCTCTGGTTTTCACCCTTGAAAGTTTAACTTTATTCCTTTATAAATCACAGTCACAAGGAAAATAGCCATTTTCTCACACAGACAAAATTAACACTGATCTACCCTGCAGCCAGCAAGGGCAGAGGGAACATCACCACATCTGCTTTTACAGCACCACAGTACTGATCACAACACAGTAATTCACTTAGTAAATGCAAAAAAACCCACATGTATCTGGAGGAGATCTTTTGACGGGCAATTTGCAGAGAGCTACAGGGAAGAAACCTTAACTGTGTATAATTTTATACATTTCTTAGAAGTTTTTACTGGTTTTCAGGTAGGAAAGCATTCGTAACACTGCACCCCTGCACCCTCACATTTCAGCAGTTTGCATTATTGCTGAAGTGTCGCGTTACTGAACAGACCTCTCACACCAGCACTAGGAAGCTCTGGCTCACTTTGGACAGTAAAATGATAGTCAGAAGTCTCCAAGACATGAAAGGGAAGAAAAAACTTCCACCAATTTCTAATGCCTTCATTAAATTATCCAGGCTCCCTCTGGTGGGAGATTTAATGCAGAGACTGTTCCAGTTTGCTATATGAGAACAGCTTTGAATCACAACAGGTTTTTTTCTTCTGTAAAACAAACCGTGTTACATCTGGACTCTGCAATTCCTGGAGTCTCTTGTCATGCTTAATCACAGCAACCTGAAGTAAAGCTTTGTTTCTGGCTCTGAACTACATCACATAAAGAAGAGCAGTCAGTGATTTAAAAAAAAAAAAAAGCTAAAACATCACATTTTTAAAACACAAATTATTGTCTTTGTGCTCCAAAATCCCAGAATATTTCTCCTTTCTTACTTCAGCTCTCCAGAGTCCCAGCAGAACCACCACCTCTGCTCCTGATGTGGACAGAGGCCAAAGAAAGATTTCTCTCCCCAGGGCACACAAGAAATCTAGGGCTCCTAGTTTTCATTTCTGATTATATATTGATTATATTAAGTCCCAGGTCTCATATCTCTCCAATAATTTGAATATCATTTATTTACACTATGGTCAGACAATTCCAACATGCCTATGTATCTCTCTACAAATCACACACACAGGAGTCAAGCAAACCATCCATCCATTTCATTTCTCTACAGCCCCTGAAGTTGTCATTTTAACCAGTTACAGTAAAGGAACATGACAAGCTTTACAAACACAGAAAGACATCACATGTGGTATTTTTAGTATCTACCACTAAATATATGTACTACATATTGCCATCAAAACTCCTGTTATCCATGCAATCTCATAGTCAAATTTAGTTTTGCCTCCTGAACTTCATTACCAATATTATCAACATTCTGCAGTTTAAAGTCTTGAAATAAACAGCAAACATGCAGAGAGGTAGCATTCAAAAGAAAAAAATTAAAAAAGAACCATCCAAATTGAGGTAGGAAAACTGTAACCCGATGTTGCTGTACGGGAAAAGCAGCATGAGCCTTCTCATGGATGGAGACAATTTTGTTTCTGACAGCCCTTATTATGACTCACTAACTTTTCTTCCTTAATAAGGCCACAATTTGCATCAGAGAAAGTGTGTCTATAACAAGCCTGAGGACTCAGAAAACTATCCAATGGTTAAGAAGCATAACTTTGCTACACCGACAAAAACAATCTTAGTTCTCAATTTGTCCTTGTGCTTTCAGATAGAAAGGGATGCAAGACTATGCCTACTATAGTCCAAGAATTCTGATTAACCTCATACAGCCTATCTTAGATGATGAGTATAATTCAATTACTGCCAGATAGGACGGCAGCTGAAGCTGAGGAGCAACTCGGACTTGAGGGCTATTTAGGATATAGTCGGCACAGAAACCAGTCTCACAGGTCAGAGAAAACAGTCCTCATCACTGCAAGTTCCTTGGGACAACTACAAAGTTTTACAAGAACCCACTGCTTGCAACCCATACAGGAAGGCAAATAAAGAGCAGCAATTCACGTTCAGTATATCATCAATGAAATCCACAGCCTTCCAAAGCAAGCGTTAACTTATTCAGACTAGGGAGATTACGACCTCATTTTGCCCCAGAGGCATTCCTTTAGTGCCCAAGTAAAGCTACGTGGGGAACCAGTAGAGAGGGATTTACAGTTCAGAAAGACAGGCGTGATCTCCTCGCCCCTGACTTCCCAGAACCCCCTCAAATGCAAAGCCTGCGGCGTGCGGTGTGGACACTGACAGACCACCCTAAACATGAAACTGCAGGAAGGATGTGAGACCATTCTCCTCGTACAGAAAACAGACAACTCTCCCAGCAACGGGGCAGGACTACACCACCTGTAGTAAAATCGAGGAGGGCAAGCACACATCCCATCCCCTTGCACACCGCGCTGCGATGGCCATGGGACCCCGCCCGGACCTCGCTCAGCCACGCGTTCCCCTCGCCAGCTCCCCAGCCTTGGGCACTCCGGGACTGCTCCGCCTTCTGCTTCACCGCAAGGGGTTTGCGGGCGTGCAGGGACGGGCGATTCCCGGCTCGGTTAAACCTCCCCGGGGAGCGCTGTCCCCGCCGGGCAAGAGCCAGGTCCCCGCGGGGGAGGGAGCCGGGCGGGGCGGTGCGGCACTCACCGATGCCCAGCCCCACCACCACGCGTCCCGCCAGCAGCGTCTCCTTGTCGCGGGCGGCGGCCAGCACGCCGGAGCCCGCCGTGAAGAGGCCGCTGGCCAGCAGGATGCAGGGCCGCCGGCCGCACAGCCCGTTCAGGACGCCGCCGGCCAGGGCGGACAGGGCGGCGGCGCCCACCGTGCTGGAGACGAGCAGCTCCTGCCAGAGCGCGTCCAGGTTGAGCTCCCTCTTGAGGAGGAGCAGCGCCCCCGACACCACGCCGGTGTCGTAGCCGAAGAGGAAGCCCCCCAGGGCGGAGAAGACCGACACCACGTAGACGAAGCCGGGGGTCTCGTCCTGCTGGAACTGGCGCCGCGCCGCCCGCTCCAGCTCTCCGCCCGACGCCGCGCTGTTGAGGCTGGAGCAGGACTCGGCGGCGATGAGGCTCCGCTCGCCCGCCGCCGCGCCCGAGCCGGCGGACCCGTCCGCCTGCCGCCGCCTCTTCTCGCCCATCAGGTTGCTCAGGCTCCGCAGCGTGTACTCCACATTATCGCTGGCCTTGCGGGACATGGGACGGCCGCGGCGGCTCCCGCCCCGACCGGGGGAGGGCAGGGGGCTGAGGTGGGCGGCTGCCGGGCTACTCGGACTCGGGCGGCGGGGCTGCCGCTGCTGCCGACGCTGCCCGTCCTCAGCGCGCCCGCCCCTCTCGGGCCGCGCTCAGCTGGGTCGCATCATCCCCCCGCCGCCGGGCGGACTTGAGGGGAAGTTGCCGCCGCTCCCAGCGTCCGGGCGGAGCTGGAGGCGGAGGCAGGCGGGGACAGCGCCGAGCGCGGCCCGGCGGGCGCAGGGGCGGGCTCGGCCGCCCCCCCGCCGTTCGCTGCACGGGGCAGGCGCGGCCCGGAGCGCCTGCGCACGGAGCGCCCCCGCCGCGCTCGCTCGCGGGCGGCGGCGCTGGCAGTGGCGCTGGGGCCAGGAAGGAAGTCGGGAGGGAAGCCAGGAAGGAAGCCCTGGGCGGGTGGGCGCCACGCAAGCCTGGGGGCCGGTCCCCGAGCCCGCGGAGCTGTTCCCGCTGGCAGCCCCCGTCTGCATGAGGAGCAGGGGCCGCCGGCCGGGGCTGCCCACCCGCGCGGTTTCCGCACTGTCTGGGCAGCGCTGTCCGGGTGCCGGGCGCGTAACGATCGAGGTCCGCTTAGTAACTGGATCGTTTGAACGGAGACAGCGTTCCGCGTCCGCGTTTGTCGTTTTCTGAAGCACTGGGTGATACTGTCTGTGCTGCTGTGCACGAACGTAGCGGGTTTTCACTGCTGGGGTCTCCCGGCTCTCTTCGTCCAAGCTCACTTGGGGGGACCATTTCAGATCGTTAGTGTCGATCGATTGTCCCACCTCCCCTGCTCTCCCTCTTTTCAGGGTGTTGAACGGGAAGGGCCCTGGGGCTGCGTAGCTCCAAGAACCCGTTTGGCGCTGCTGTCCTGGCTGTCGCTGCCGGGGCTCCGAGCGAGCCTTCCCTGCCCGGCCCGTCCCTGCCCGGCCCGTCCCTGCCCGCTGCACGGGAGCTGGAGCCGGCGCTGCTCCCTCAGAGCGCGGCCAGAGCGCTGGAACGGGCTGCCCAGGGACATCTGGCTGCTCCCTGGAGACACAACACCCGCCTGGACGTGTTCCTGTGCAACCTGCTCTAGCTAACCCTGTCTTAGCGGGGCCGTTGAATGATCTCCAGAGGTCCCTTCCAGCCCTAACAATTCTGGGATTCTGTTCCAAAAACAAAGGGAAATTGCCAGCAGTTGTTCAGAGTGGGACAGGTTTCTTACCATGTAGGAGCAGAGTTTGGAGCTTGTTCTCGTGTTTGTGCTCCAAGTAGAGCATCATGTTTTGCTAATTCCACCTTTAAGCAGTCTTTTTGGGGATTTTTCACCGGGATGCAGAGCCTGGCGGATCCTGTCAGCAGGGAGATGTGTCTGGCTCCATGAGGACCCAGGCAAGCTTTGCTGCCAGTGTGCATGGAAGGGCCTTCCAGATGCAATGCATTTTTGGGGAAAAGTATATGTCATAATATCATAATATTATAATTTGTACTTCTTGTATGTTGGCACGAATATGGATAAAACAAAATTTTCATTCTGACTTAACTGTCTTCTGCAGAGATTCTCATAATGAGGCCAGCCAGCACCCAGAGAATTTTGGTAATTAACTGGATCAGTTACCAGCCCACACCTTGTGAGCAGTACTAGTCATAGCCATGTGAATTTAAAAATGAGAAGAGGGAGCAAAGTCCAACATGGCCAGCTGCACACAGTCTCTTTGGTGGTTTGCCTCTGCCTCAAAGCAAGCTGTGACATACTGATACTGGTCCAGATAATACTAACTAAATAAAATAGTGAGCTGTAGTTACTAAAATAAGTATAATAGCAGTGTAATAATGTCTCTATAGGTAATCCTGTTAAAGAGAGATGTGGCAGTGGATTTCTAAATACAATAGGTCAGCTTGCATGTTTGAGCATGGGAGAAGCCTGAACTAGATAATAATTAAATGCATGTTAACATTCAGTTATTTTTAGTCAATATTTGGGTGACAGGGTATGATTGGCACAGAGCATTCCTTATTTTAATAAAGACCAATAGGAGCCAACCCAGTACTAAAGCAAGAAACAGTTCCAGGTTCTAGCATGAGGAATGAAGTTATCACAGGATCACAGAATGTGCTGAGTTGGGAAGGACCCACCAGGATCATGAAGCCCAACTCCCAGCCCTGCCAAGCACCACTCCCAAGAGTCACACCATTTGCCTGAGAGCATTGTCCAAACACTTCTAGAACTCTGTCAGGCAGAGGCTGTGACCACTGCCCTGGGGAGCCTGTTAAGAGCCCAGCCACCCTCTGGGGGAAGAACCATTTTCCAGTATCCAACATCAACCTCCCCCAACACAACTTCAGGCTGCTCCCTCAGGTCCTGTCACTGGTCACCACAGAGCAGAGATCAGGGTCTGTCCCTCCTGCTCCCCTCATGAGGGAGCTGTAACTGCAGTGAGGTCTCCCCTCAGTCTCCTCCAGGCTGAACAGATGCAGTCACTCCTTATACAGCTTCTCCTCAAGGTCCTTCACCACCTTTGGGCACTCTGTAACAGTTTAATGTCTTTTCTATATTGAGGTGCCCAAAATGGCACTCGAGATGAGGCCACCCCAGAGCAGAGCAGAGCAGGGCAATCCCCTCTCTTGCCCAGCTGGTGCTGCTGTGCCTGATGCCCCCTGGACATGGGTGGCCCTCCTGGCTGCCAGGGCACTGCTGACTCATATTTACCTTTCCATCAGCCAGGACCCCCAGGTCCTTTTTTGTGGCACTGCTCTCCAGCCTCTCATTCTCCAGTCTGTCCATACATCCAGGGTTGCCCCATCTGAGGTGCAGAATCCGGCACTTTCCCTGGTTGAACTGCTGAATGCTGGACATTCTGTCCAGAAGGATATTATGAGAGACGGTATCAAAAGCTTTGCTGAAATCCAAAAAGATTACATTATCCACCTCCCCTTGATCAAAGAGGTGGGCTACCAGGAACTGTCCCCTCAGGTCCAGCAGCTCTCCATGAGCAGACTGGCTTACATTGCTACAGCACAAGCAGCACAGAAGATGTAATCTTCCAGAAGTCTCCAGACTTGCCTAACAAGCATAACACTCACTAGTTTTTTTTATGTAAGCCCCAAATAAAAATGTGGGACACAGTGCATGAAACAGAAAACATTCACACCAAATCCCCAGCCAGCTAGAAGGAATGCTTTTACAGAATACTGTAACAACAGCTGGCTGTCACAAAAACAACCTTTTTAATAGCCACTGCAGATGCTGGAGGCATTCTGTATGTTGCAGTTAATAGAGACTCAAGAGAGCTAACAAAAAGCTTTTATTTTTTTCAATTGATGTCCCAACACAAGCACAAACAGACATAATTTCTCATCAGATCATGCTGTCAAGCTTCTCTCTTAAAAGGATTCCCTGAAGAAAGACAACAAAAAGTTCAGCTGTGGGAGTTCATGCATTACACTGAAGACTGACAAATCTTTCATGAGAAAGATTTGGTTTGTTTGTAGATTTTCATTATTGTGATAATCTCTCTATAGTACTGCATTTCATCATAAAAGCTGACATAGATGACATCACATTAATTCAAAATGCGGTAGGTATGATCAGTAATCTAAGACAGGGCATCAGATTCAAAGAAGAATTTGAGTGGATTTTAGCTATGATGTTATGCTTTCAAGAGATTGAATATTTAATTGAAATACCTTTTAGATTCACAGCACTTCCTCATTCTCTCCTTTAAGGTGTGTTTGCACAATTGTTTGCCAGGATGTTGTGAAGTAGATCAAAGAACTTGTCCAGTTTCAAAAACTCAAAGTTTTGTGTTTCAATAGAGAGCAGGAATAATCACACGATTTTGCTGCTTTTTATTTTGTTGATACATGGTATCAATCAAAAAATATCTTCCAGAAAATTACCGAGGGCTTTGTAATGTGCCCAGAACTCTGCCAGACCAGAACAGGGGAGTAAGCCCCTGTCTTTGCAGACCCTCAGAAGGGGGTGGATGAGTGCTGAAATCTCCAGCCAAGATTCACAGAGAGATGCTCTAGGTCTGTTGTGTGATAGTCTGGTGGTCAGTAGCCTCACCCAGCAAGTGGGAGGCCAGATTCATGGATTTGCTTCAGCCCAGGACTCAGGACCCAGGAAATCTCTTTCTCACCTCTCAAGAAGATTATAGGTTCAATAGGGAAAAGATGGATTTTTAAAGGAAATTGGGTTGATGTGCAGACAAGAATGTAAGAGCCCTGGGGTGAGACAGACAGTGAGGCAGAAAAGGATGTGATTCTGTGGCAAAAGAAGGTCAGCTTTATCAATGATGGGTATATTATTCACATAAAACTAGTTTCACAAAAAAAAAAAAAAAGGAGTAATACAAGGAGCAAATCCTCAAGCCAAGAATTCTTCCCTTCTCAGCTGGTGCTGTGGGGGTGGGCATGAGGTCTTTGGCCTCATGTGGTTTCAGTAATACAGTGTCCAACCCCTTTAGTTTTTACTCTTGTAAACTAATTTCTTGTTTGTTACTTTTATGATGTCTTAAACTGTGATGCTGCTTTGATAGTCAATATTTTGCCACAATATTTTGCTGAACAGAGTTGCTATATGAGTTGAGAAATACTACTGTGCTGGGCTGAGGGAAATCTCCTAGCTGAATATACAAAAAAAGATCAGCAAATGCAGTTTATAGCAGCAGCTTATAAAATGTCCAAAACCTTGGAAAAGCAATGACAGAACTTTTCTTACAAGTTTGCTTGCAGTCTCAAGGTTCAGAAACCTTTTCTGAACACAGAACTTTACATTATCAGTGTGCCATGGTGGGGTACAACTTTTTACGAAAAGTATTTCTTCCTACTGAGAAGACACAAACCCTGACCCATGATCACACCAGTTTGTTGAGTTTGCAGGTATGTCTGGGTAATACAACATTGAGACTGTAAGGAATTCTCTAAAGGAGAAAAACAGGACCTGAAAATAGGACTTTAGAAACTATTTGAAATAAGCAGTGTATTGCTATAAGACTTCATTTTGTTCCAAACTTCATCCTACAACAACATTGTTTGGTCTCTTTGGAAAGAAGTCCCCATATAACATTCCTTCTCCAGCCATTTTCTCTATCTTGACAGAGTCATTCATTTATCTGAATGTGCCTATCTCTGAGCTCTCAATACAGTTTAGTTGTTTGTAATCCTTCC